ACACAGCGCTCAAGCTACGAGCCTTTTCACCTACCAGTACTTCTACTAGTAAGGGCCGAGCTCCACTTTCTTCATACCTCCATTTAAGATCAAAGCCGGTCAGCTTGAGTGCTCAACGTCTGGGTCACTGATCACTTTCATTTCATTGCCTTGGCTCTGATCTACTTTTATTGGAGTTTTGCTGATTTACGCTCTTTTGAAGGCTGTCTTGATAAGTTTGTAATAAATAAACCAAATTAAATGTCGTTGCTTCTCATCAGTGTGGAACTAATCTCTGTAAGCAGAATCTGTTGGCAATGGAATCTGTTCCTAGTCCAGGTAGTGCTGACTGATCACGTTTGATCACACTTTGGTTGAATGGAGGTAAACAATCCGTGTGGAGCAAAAGAGTTGGAGAGCAAGTCTTGGGCCGCATATCCACTGGCTACACTGGAACCCCAGAAATAAAGCCCCTCGCCCCCTAGAGGCTTATGCATCGCCAGACCAAAAGATGATGGTTTATGAGATTGGTATGGAACAATGTTTCTACAAAATGTAAGTTTCTTACACGATGTTGAAAGTATTGGGTGTTAAATGTGTCGATCTTACGACAGGTGAGCTATCAGCTGGCCCGCCTGGTATGCATTACCCGCCGTTACCTGATACCTCTTTCCCTGCTCCTCAAACTGCAAATGTGTCTCTGTCATTTTGGAGAAACTCTGCTCCAATACATTGGTTATATACTGAATCACTGTTTTAAGGTTGCAAGTGTTTCTACGTCCCTGTGAAACTCCAGTAAAACCAGATGTGGTAAAAACCTGTTAGTGTTTAGGCGTTAGCACAATGATGTGACTGGAGGTCTGGTTGTTGTCATGTATCAGCAACATGTTGGGACCTCATCTCATATATTCAGTTGTCTTGATAACCCTTTGAAGTTGAGACAGATAAGAAGAGATCATGCCCTAACACGTGTGGGATGCCATCTCAATAGCCGGATGTGTTTGGGCTTCAGCAGAGAGGAAAGAGGCCACCCAGTGCAGACCAGTGTCACTGCTGTACAAACTATCCAATCACATAAAAGACACTGGACCATTTTATGACTTCTTGGGAGACCGCAGTGGAGCCAAAAGCAGAGTGGATGTTGGTCCAATGTTGTCAGTCTTTATTGCGCTGCTCAACTCTTTTAAGAATTGCTTCTTAACCACCCTATGTAAATGTGAAACTACATGTGCTAAACACCCATCAGACGAGTAACATTGTGTTTTCCCCACGGAACATTTTCTATTTACCTCTTGCTTGTATGACAATGTCCAGGCCAAGGACTGGTCCTGAGTGGGAGTCTGTGTGTATCGTGCAAGGTAAAGTTTTTGAGTTCTAATTAGTCATTTGCTCAAAAATAGCAGGAACAAACTCTCGACTGTCAGGTTCACATTGGCACTTTCCCCATATCAACGCTGCTCACTGGTGCTGTGTTATCATCTCCACTGTGTGTGAACAGTGAGCCAACATCCCCATCTATTGGTGAAAGTGTCTCCAAACCAAGGCAAGTCTATTTCTTTAGCACCTTTGCAAAATCAGGCAATCCTATGTGCTTTACTTAAGACTGAAAGGCATTGAGAATACATAAATATGAACATATATGTGTACACATTTATATTGCTCTCAGAATAGCAGCATCTTAATTTAGACATTGTTTTTCCTTCACAGCAAGACTAAGCGGTCCTTATCTTAACTGTTTTTATCACCTATTCTACTACTACATTTAGTGTGTGTTACACCCTTCCAACAGTCCCACCCGGAAAGTGTGTGTGTGTGCTTCGCTTCCTCCCAACAGATAGCCTTTCAAATGGAAAGTAGGGAGGGTGAATCTCTCACAGGTCACCAAATAAATAAAGGATGCAGTCTGACCGATACAAAGGGTGACAGATAAGAATTATTATAGATATATTTAGGTTGGAGCTATCCGGTGGTGCTCGGTAAATGAAAAGACAAACCAACACAAAGGGTTTGTTCCATCACCATGAGCTTCCTAAACAGCTTTAATACTCCTTAGATTCCTCATTTAGCATTTTGATGATAATGGTGGAGAGCACTGATCGTGATCATGATGTTTTTTTCTAACCTTAACCAAGCAGCTTTGTTGTCTAAACCTGACCAACTGTTTCACCATGTGGCATTGTGCGTCTCTGCAAAGAGTGGTGATATGAAACGTATTTATTAAAATGGTCTTTTGGTTCAGAAACGCTGACATTCAATGTATCCTGTGGTTTGTAGAAACGTATGGGGCAGCTCCCTCCAAGTCAATGAGTCATGTAATGGGCCGATGAGTCGATTTACGTTTTGTTTTTAATGCTGTATGAATTATTAGCAAGAACGTTATGAGCACATCTCTGGTACACGCAGATTTAAAGTGAGGCCTTTGTGTGATTCTTTGTGGAGAAACTTTTCCAGAGTTTTCCAGATCTGTCGATTAAATCAACTCATTTTGTCGAGTGTTAGTCGACTAAGGATTTCTTTGGTCGAGGATGGATATTATGTAGCCATCCCACGCTACTCCATGCAAAATAAAGGCTTGCTACTGAAAACTTACATGCTCATATCAGACTGTTGGCTTGGACATATAGTTAAACTGGTAGCATTGATATTCCCCATCACTGCTCCCTGCTGTGAGGATTCAATGAAAGTAGAAGTGTGCAAAGAACAGCACAGTAATGTGGTGCCACTGGAGAAAGCAGACGTCCTCCAGTGGCCCCTTCCAGCGCTTTCACAGTCTGAACTCTGATTCTCCGTAACTGCTGATCCATCACACATCAGAATTTACAGCCTGGAGTCAGAGCTTGATGTAGTGCGCCGTTAAATTAGCACAGCTCAAGCCAAAGCGAGGATGTGATGGAAACCTGCTCCGATGAATCACAGGGTGGCACTAAAGACAGACCAAGGAGACGTTTTAATCTCGTGTGTCTGTGGCCGCCAAGTCCACTCGTGAACGAACGGTGTCTCACCAATGCCGAGCCGAGCCACGTCACACTGAGGTTAATAAGGCGTCTCTAGAGAACATTGATAAGACTCCTCCTGTGGGCTGAGTGGAGGGTGTGTGTGTGTGTGTGTGTGTGTGTGTGTGTGTGTGTGTGTGTGTGTGTGTGTGTGTGTGTGTGTG